TTTTTGCGGTACGCGGGCTTCTCACTGTTGTGGCCTCTCCCGTTGCGGAGCACAGGCTACGGACGCGCAGGCTCAGCGGCCATGGCTCACGGGCCCAGCCGCTCCGCGGCATGTGTGATCTTCCCGGACCGGGGCACGAACCCGTGTCCCCTGCATCGGCAGGCGGACTCTCAACCACTGCGCCACCAGGGAAGCCCCCAATACCTAAATTTTAAAGAGAGAATAATGACAGTACCCAGGCTGATGGGGTTATTCTCATGATAATTAAATAAGCCAATCGATTTCAAGCACTTAGCACAGTATCCTGGGTACAACAAACACGCAACAAATAGTAATTATTACAAGGACTGGCAGATATGCACTAAATTTTAAAGAGAGAATAATGACAGTACCCAGGCTGATGGGGTTATTCTCATGATAATTAAATAAGCCAATCGATTTCAAGCACTTAGCACAGTATCCTGGGTACAACAAACACGCAACAAATAGTAATTATTACAAGGACTGGCAGATATGCAAGAGGGACTGGCACACGCAGGAGTTCAAAATATGTTTCATGAATAAATAACTGATGACAAGCTTATCCTGTCTGACAAGATTATAGGCTTCTTGTAGCCAAGGTTTGTTCTCACTTTCCTTTTATGTTCCCAGCACGAAAGAAAGTCAGGACCTTGAGGACATTCTGCGAAGTGAAATAAGCCAGTCACAAACGAACTAATACTGTAGGATTCCACTTATACGAGGTACCTAGAGTAGCCAAATTTAGAGAGACAGAAAGTAAAAGGGGGTTGGCCAAGGGGCTGGGGGGAGGGGGAGGGGGAGTTATTGTATAATGGGCACAGAGTTTCAGTTGTGCGAGATGAGAAAGTTCTGGAGACGGAGGGTGGTGCTAGTTGCACAATGATGTTAAGTCACTTAATGCTGCTGCAATGTGCACCGAAAAATGGCTAAAAGTGGTAAATGTTATGCTGTGGATATTTTACCACAATTGAAAAAAATAAGTTAAAATGAAAGAAAGTTGGGGTTCGGGAAATATGAGGTTAATTTAGGGGCGGATAATTCACAAACAACTTGTCATTTGAATCAACCTAATTCTAACGCTGACTCTGTGCCGCTCACTGGGGTGGCGTCCTGACTGAAGGACACACTATTTGGCAACACATAAAGGACACTGGGAAGAATTCCTGAACTATTTATTAGAGCGACTCTGGTTACCCATGATAGGGCCTCTGCTTTTTATTTGTAATATCTGCAAGCAATAACCCTGACTCAGAACTTACATTTCAGAATTGTAACTGAGTCACCAAAAGTTAAGTGGAGACCATGAGAAGGAGTGTATAAGGTGATGTAATGTTGGTGGGAAAAAGGAGCCGCCACTTTATCCTGTAAGGATGGAAGAACCCACTGAACCCGGTGCTAACCCTGTGACTGTCGGGGCCAATTCCTGCCATTCTGTGGCCATTCCTTGGGGAATCTGCAGTGGGCTCAGTCCCTGGCCCAGCTAGAAGCTGTATGAATTTGAAAAAGAAGAGGAAAATACGTGGAAGTGACAAGTAAACTTGGTGAACGACAGAATGGAACTTGGGGTCTGAAGGTTTAGCTTGAGTCCTGACCCAAACACTTACCGGCCGTGTGGCCTGGAGGAATCCCTTCTATCCCAACGAAGGAACCGGAAGAGGTGATCCCTAAGGTCCTATCCAGCTGGGTCAAACTCAGATTCCATCAAAAACATCCTTCTGAATTTCTGATAACTTGCACAAATAAAATGGACTCAGATGAACTACTTGCCCAGAGAAATGTTCTTATTCGTTAGTCACGCGTGAACATGTTACGGGAGATCAAGTGAAATGCTGTGACTGGGTCTTCGAATTGAGAACAAAAATATCCAAGAAGATGTTGGTTGAGGACATTAAAGCAAGACTAGTTCCAGACAGAATAATCCTTAGGACACAGGAGAGGTTCTCTGCTATGTTGGTGAAACCAGTGAGTGACCCTAGACTAAAGGACCGCCCTCCCTGGTTCCTTGCTCAGTTCCAGAGTTTCCGACACCGCCCCCCCCCCCCTCCAGCCTTCCCTGCCCCCTTCAAACCCAAGTCATGGGGAAGGGCTCCCTAGAGCTCGCTCATGCTGACCGCCTGTTCATCACTCTCAGTGGTGACTTCCACAACTTGGCAGATGTCTGGTGGATTAGTGACAATCTCTTGATCCTCAATGTTGCTGTCCAGATGTGACTGTCCTACGACTTCAAAGAAAAGACAGCCATCATGCACCAACATCACCTGCCTTCACAATCCTAGCACACACTCTCGAGAAAGGAAACCTCCCCCCAGAGGCCAAGAGTCAGATTCCTGGTCACCAAATGTCATCTGCCATGAAATAAGAACAAGCCTTAGCTTTGGGTTAATGTCCCTGGAGAAGCAACTTGCCAATAACCTGGCTCGCCAGGGCTATTTCCAGTGTGCCTGCCAATGGTGCTTACGCGTGGCAACATCCCAAACTCAACCTGGCCACAGCCAAGGGTGCAGGACGAGAGCTGCATCCAGACCTAGCCCCAGGGCCAGAGAGATAAACAGTGCTTCGAACCTGACCCATTTCTGTTCTCTGCTCTCGCTCTAAAGGAAGCTGCTGTGCTAGTTTCTGGGTCCTGGGGTCCAGAGAGACATCATCAAACCTTAATAATGAGGGAAGGGGCTTCCCTGGTGGCACAGTGGTTGAGAGGCCGCCTGCTGATGCAGGGGACACGGGTTTGTGCCCCGGTCCGGGAAGATCCCACATGCCGCGGAGCGGCTGGGCCCGTGAGCCATGGCCGCTGAGCCTGCGCGTCCGTAGCCTGTGCTCCGCAACGGGAGAGGCCAAAACAGTGAGAGGCCCGCGTACCGCAAAAAAAAAAAAATAATAATAATGAGGGAGGACCATGCCTCTGAAATCATGACTCAACATTTTTTAAATTAAACTTTTCAGTCTGAGATCATGTGCAGTTGTAAGAAATAATACACAGATCCCGTGTGCCCTTTACATGTGCAAAACTATCATACAGTATCAGGATATTGACATTTGACAATCGATGCATTTTGTTCAGATTTCCTCCGTTTCACTTGTACTCCTTCGTGTGTGTGTGTGTGTGTGTGTGTGTGTGTGTGTACTTAGCTCTGTGCAATTTCATCACATATGCGGTTTCACGTACCCACCTCTGCAGTCAAAACACCAAACAGTCTCATCATCACAAGCATCTTCTGTAACTGTATCCACCTTCCTTCAGCCTCCTCCCCTTGTCTCTAACCCCTGACAACCACTCATCTGTTTCCCATTTCTATAATTTTTGTCATTTCAAGGATGCTTCATAAATGGACTCACACAGTAACCTTTTGAGATGGGCTGTTTTCACTCAGCACAATTCCCTGGAGATTCATCCAAGTTTTTGTGTGTATCAGTAGGAATTGTAGGTTCCTTCAATTGGAGGAACCCAATTCAATTCACCCACTGAAGGAATTGTAGGTTCCTTTCCATTCTTTGGCTATCACGAATAAGGCTGCTATGAACATTCATGCACAGGTTTTATCTGAACGTAAGTTTCCATTTCTCTGGGACAAATGCCCAAGAGTGCAATTGCTGGATCACATGGTAATTATATGTTTAGTTTTACAAGAAACTGCTAATATTACGTTCTACCGGCAATGTATGGACAAGCTAATTTATGCACATTTAGCCAGCTTTTGGTGTTGTCACTACTTTTTGACTTTAGTCATTCTGATAGATGTGTGGTGATACCTCATCGCGGTTTTAATTTGAACGCCCCTAATGCCCTGTCTTACTTTCAAACAGAGCTGACCTTATACTTCTGTTGACAATTGATTGGATGGACTATCCCTGAAAACTGGCACCCATAAACAAATGGGACCAACAATGTTTTCCCAAGGGCCTCTCTCAAAGCACTTTGCCCTCAATGTTTTACTCATGCCTGTATAAGTTATTTTTAACATTTCAACACATGAGAATGACAGGGAAAGCATCATTATCCTGTTAGAAATGAAGAGTGTCAGGTACAGAGTACAGTAGCTCATCCAAAGTCACACAGCGTGGATTATGGGCTGTGCTCTACGCCCCCCGCCACCTGTAAAATGTTCAGATTAGGCGGGAAGGTGGCCACATTCCAGTCTCCTTGAGAAGTTAGCATCATGGGCCACTTCCTGTTTCCACTGCTCAAAGTATAATATTTTGATTACTCAAGTATTTCTGTTTGTGCGTGGGTTTCTGTTTTAATTGCTTGAAGGGGGGTGATGAAGTGACTAGCATTAAGGTAGGGAGAACATTACCTGATTTCTACTCAGGTAAGGTTTTAGAAGGCAGTGAGAATTCATGGATTTTCTAGCAAAGAAAAGAAAAGCACCAACGAAGCTGGGAAAGGAGATTTGGGGATGTGATAAAAGACTCCACAAAGCCACAGCACACAGAATGGAAGGGAAACTGGATGCCGTGTGGGTTTTCCTGGAGGGGATAAAATTAAAGAAAAGGAAGGCAGGCTAAATATGGCAGGCAGACTCCCAAATTCTTATTTTATCCTTTGGACTATACTACTTGAGCCTGAGAGCATCAATTATGCAGCTCACCAGACACAGACTGAGCGCTGACACTGACCTCTCTCAAGTTTCTTCTGCCTCCTCTCCCAAGTAAAATAAGACGGCAGGAAAACAAGATGGGTCCTGTCCTTTCCCAAATTGGTGGGTGGAGATAGAAACCAAACAGGATGTGTGTGTGTGTGTGTGTGTGTGTGTGTTTGATGAGGGGGTGGATAAAACTGATACCTTACATACTAAGAAAATTAAGATCTTTGATTTGATTTAAATCAAGGCCCCTTTAACTTCCGATCCCCCAAAATTCATTTCTCCCTTGCACTGTCGTTCCTGGGAGTATAAACTATGGCAGCCATTCAAGCATCTTCCTAATTATGTCCCTTTGTTCTGACCAGGAATTCTCTCCCTCAGTGTTTTCCCCCATAAGTCCCAACTCAGCCATTCAACTAACAGAGATTTCCTGAGCATCCTCTTTGTACAAGGCACTGTTGTCAGGTAGGAAGGGTAGACGAAGTGTAATCTAGTCCAGGATCTGGTTTGTAAGAAGTCCAGTAGGGCTGGAGGCCAGCACACAATGATCCAGAGAATAAACTGAGGACAGTAGTGAAAAGGAAAAGCGGGGAGGGTGGAGGGCCCGTGATGAAAGTTCAGGAAGTGGGATATTTTTTTTTTCCAGTTCCAGGAAATCAAAGGCTTCGGTGAGGCGGAAGCACGGTGGGCGGAAGGGGAGGGTGAGTGGCAGGCAGGAGTCAGATGCCTCTGCTTTCGGGGGGCCTTTTCCTGACCCCCCAGAACAGACTGCTCTCTCTTTCCTGAGGGCCCCTCGCTTGCTGTCCCCATGGCTTGGCCAAAACGACAGCACGACACGACCTTGTGATGTGCCTTCACTTTCGGCCTCGCGTGCCCAGTTAATGCAGGGTCCCTTTATTTAACTCTTTATTTGTACGTGTTGTCTCCCAGCCACACTGTGGCTCCCGAGAGAGATGAGACCCTGCATTAGAACTTTTTGTCTCAAGTCACAGCACACGTTCACAGCTTGTACCGGAGAGCAGCTCAGTGAATCTTTGCTGAGGAAAGAGATGAATAAACAGAGCAAGGCTCCCAGACTGCCGCCAGAGGCCTGCAGGAGTTCAGGACCACTTGTGAATACCAAATGGAACGACGAACGTTTTCTAGAAAATTTCAAGATTCCTGGCAAGCGGGCTTTTTAAAACCTAGGTGAAGGGATAAAGACACAGTAGGCCATAGCTGCCAGGGGCTGGAAGGAGGGAGAGGAAACATTTGGGGGTGAGGAAAATGTCCTATGTCTTAAATGTAGTGGTAGTCACACAACTGAGGATGTCTGTCAAAAATCATAGACCTGCACACCTAAAGGGGGTTAGTTTTACGGTATTTCACTTAACATACATGCCTTAAGACAAAAAGTAGATGAGCATCTCTATTCAAATTTTAAGTGTATCCCGAATGCTGGTGACCAGGATAGAAAAATAAGTTTTAGTTTTCTGGGCTACATCTGGATACCCAGTTAATATTACATGATCTCTAAGGCCAGACACGGCCCTAGGAGTATGTGGCTTTGTGCCTGGGACAGGGATGGCCGCTGCTCTCCATTCTGAACACGACTGAGGGCACTTTAGAAACTTCTGAACTCGTAAGTCGCAAGTCCAAGAGAGAAGCTGGGAAATCCCAACATGTGAGATGCTCTCTGGAAGGGCTTTACGCACCAGCCCTAATCCATCTCTCTCTCTTTATCCATCTATGGAGATAGATGAGAGCTGATTTCCCCTGAACCACCAAACTGTGCCCTAAGGGACAACACAGACTGTGCCACTGACTCCTCACAAATGAAAAGTCACAAGAATAGCAAGCTTAGCAAACTGCTACAGCACGTAAGGTCAGAAGTGGGAGGCCTCTAGGTGCTAGAGTACCATGACTGATAACCCATAATAACAAAACCTAGCATTTCCTGGGCCCTGAACTTTGTCTTTCCCACCTTGACCTATCACCTGCCAGACCTCACAACTCCACGGGGAAGACACAGTTATCACCCCATTTTAGCCAGGAGGAAAAGCATCGCGGAGAGTTAAATAACGAAGAGTTCAATGACGAACTCAAGGTCAGACAGCCGGGAAGTGGCAGCCTCAGGAGGCAGATTCGGCTTTCCCTCTCAACAGCACCGTCTCCCTGAAAGAAAGAATTAAGGAAGTTCAAACTGAGTTTCCCTGGGCTTTCTAAGCCCCTCTTAGGATAAAACCTTTCAAATCTCACCTTAATAAGGCTCTGGGCTCACAACCAATAGTGAAATTGCTTTTCAACAGTTCTATATCGGGTGCCAAGGAAATTCCTGAACGGTTAGGGAACTAGAAATCCACTAAGCTTCTCCAGATTATGAAGGTCAGCGCATCAGGAAGCGTCCCCCGCAGGCATGTAATTTTATCTGGACCTCGGTGCTGAGACTTACAACAATATTATTCATGGCTGGTTACTGATGAACCGGTTTGATTCCTTAAAAGGTCATTCTTACCTTATTAACAATTGTTGACAACGCAGGGCTCCACCTGCGAAAGTACTTGCCCCCAAGCCTCAGAGAAAGCTCTTAAAAGTAGACTATTAGGAACCGGAAAGTTCTGTGAAGGTGGGTTGGTCCTATCACTTTGCAGCTGCAAAAAGC